ACTCGGCGAGGTGTGGTCCTCCCCAGGTTGCTTGCTAACACTTTGGAGAATAAAGTGATAGTCAAACCGTCCTTCCACCTGTTCAGGGTGTGAACGTTTTTTAGGCATGTAAACATCTTTTGATGCAATGTCATCAGACAGGGTGGACAGGGTTAAATCTCCAAACCAGGACAGAGCATCCAACTCGAACTAATTCATATATTAATTAATATTAATTCATATTTTTTGTATTTAATTACTCTTTAAAGGATAATTCTTGTTTATTACTAATTGGGTCTTATTTTTGTAGGTTTTGCCATTGGTTATGATAATAACATGGTACTGCAGAGAGCTGGGAACACAGCGACAGGGCAACAAACACCAGGTGTCAAATGATAATACAAGGTTAGCCAAACTTAGATGAGAGATAAAACGAAGGCAGACTTCCTGGTTCTGTAGTTGTACTTGTCCACAGTCCAGTGCAGTGAGGGATCACACTGACATTACGGGTGTGCTGACTTTCAGTTTTACCTCCAAATAAAGTTGTAGATAATTTGGCCAAACTGTTGGTTTCTTCTCAATCGTCTGTCGGCTCATTTTGGCCGATACGTGCACACATTTTGTTCAACCTCATTGCATAGATCATAAAGTCTCTCTTGCGGTGGAGTTAACATTTTATGGCTTAAGGCTTGGGTGATGCTCTCCCCGAAACAATCCTGACAACAACCAGGGCAAGTTTGACCTATTATACAAAGTGCAAAACAAAATGTAACTTCTGTCCACAGGGATAATGTGAAAGGAAGTGCATTCCACATCTGTACGGCAATTGAAGCCAACTGAAATACCACTGATAGATATAGTGTACTCTTTTTCATACTGTTGAATACATCTGCCTAAGTTAGTGAGTTTCTCTGTCCACAAATCCTGACGTCGTGTTGGTTGTATATGCGTTTCTGACTGATGCCTCTAGGCCTGCGGTGGTCTTATTTTATGGCTTTGTGTACGGACTGCCGCCAGTTTCTCTTTGTTCTTTACTAATTAGTCGTAATGATCAGGATGACAGCTCCTCAGATGTGGCACAGCATTCGAGCATTTAGCCTACTTAACAGTATAATCGGAAGAAATTGCCAATGTTTCTTTTTAAAGCCTTTATCGCTTAATACAATAATGTGCTGATATCATTGTGCATTCCTAAACAAACAATGTGCGTTATAAAATGAACTCGTAATAGTAAATGCAGGCACTATAAACTCTGCAGCGTATATTAACCGTCCTGTGTTTGTAGTGCACAGTGTTCGTGTTTGTATCAGCAGTTTTGACCTGGTTCGCCAGCAAACTTTGTGGCCTGAACCACTCTGTCAAACTAGCACTGCCTGTCCCGTATTAATATGAGTTTATAAAAATGATTGATCCACCCTAGTTACATTTTTATGTCCTCACATAGTTCACACGTTTGGGAGTCTTTTCTTCGCCCGTCTCACCCCTGCACCTCCTCTCAATAACTGCCCTATTTCTCGCTTTGTGTCCTTATTCATCCCTGCCCTCACTGCATTCATTTCTGAACACTGAGTTTCCGTTTTCTTTAGTCCTAAACCACACTCCCTCCTGCACAGATCTCATGTCTGCATTCTTCTCCTGTGAGGTCTTCAGATCAGTCCCCCATGAGTGCTGTTTGACATGATAATCTATGCATGGAGTTTGTCTACACGAACATGACATATTGTCTATTTTGTTGCTGCCTGCGAATGTCTCTGGCCCGGGATCACGCCTCGTCTCACACGGGGTCTGACAAGAGCTGCAGGCTTCATTGCGAGGATCTGTAGCCAGGAGACAGCCTCCTCTGCGGAGGTCAGGGCTGAAGTTAGGTCAGGTCTGCCGAGTAGGTGGAGATTTTGGCTCGTCAAGCGGTCGACGTGGAATGTTTGAGCCGGTTGCCAGGCAAAGAGGAAGGTTTTGATTTACCATTGCGTCTTTCCTGCAGCTTGTCGCAATTAGTGATGTCAGGAGGGAAAGAAACAAATATGAAGCGTTTCTTCAAAGGGCGAGCATAGCCTTCCCATGAGTTCACTCTTTCCTTGGGTTTCTGAAGGAAAGAGGGGCAACAAAAGTGCAGCTTATTTCTGTTGGGTCAAATTAGGTTTTGCAGACCAGGGTTCTTCCTGTTCTCTGGTGCAGGATGTCACACTTTGAGTTGACTAACTGGGTAACAAAGTATCAAAACAGTGACACAGCAGAAAGATGGCCAACAAAATGGAGCTTTTCATGTTTCTCCTATTAAAATCCTTAACCTTATTTGTTGACCGGATACGATGGATAACTAGTAATAAAGCCAGCGGCAGCCCTGAGCCGTGCCTCAGCTCTGCAGCAGTACGCCTGTTTCCTTGATGCAACAGCAACAGCTTTGTTTCACGCACTGCTTACATTTCATTTGCCTGCAGTATTGTAGATAATATTTCGCGGTGCTCTAGTTTGCGAGCCCTGGCTGTGCTCTTCATGGTCTCAGCTAGCAGTGCCAAGTTTCCCCACTCTCCTCCTGGCTTTAGGTATCCCATGCAGAGGCCATCTGTCTCTCCTCCCTTAATGGTAAGGGTGGAGTCCTCTTTAAGCACCCCCCCCCCCCTTCTCTCCCTCCTTTCCTACTTACTCCCAAATGCTTACTGTAAAACAAACAGAACATAGCATGGATGGAGTCTAGTTTCTTTGTATGCTTTGACAGCCCTGAAAGCTGACACACCGAGATAGACAAACTACGAACGGTAGCAGTTGGAGCGTCGTGTCAGGTAGCTGCAGTATGTAGAGCATGTCGGGGTGAAGCCTGGTCCGAGACACGTGTCTGCGTGCATCAACGCAATGTCACGCATGCGAGGCACGTCGGTTTACTACTCAGACAGCAAATGCGGCAGGAGGGTTTTTATCAGTATGCCATCTATATTTTTATACCAGTTATGGATGTGCATTTGCAAACATTTGTCTCACTGTCAAGCTTTTATCGTGGCAGTATCATCTTGTGATATTTTGGCAAGCAAAGAAACTGAGTTGCACTAGTAAGGTGACAACAAACAGCTGTTGTGTCAGCTCAGATGACCGTCGAGTGGAGAACGCAAAACCCACACAGCTCTGACCCTGATTCTCCCCCACACCAGTGCACCCAGAGGACTGTGGCAGACGCAATGCAAACACAGGGTAACACATGCACTGCAAAGCACATTATAGCACCGCAGGCTTTTTTTAGACCAGGTCATGATTCAGAGGTGGGAAAAAGATGTAAATCGATCCCTAAATTATCTTGGAGCAATGGAATAATAATCCAAAGGGACTTTCCACAGTGTCTTTCTAAGTGAATGACAAATAAAGCAGGCTGAGTTAAATACTTCAGGTTAATAGGGTAAAAGCCTGAATACGGTGCAGACCTGTAGGAGAATAGTTTACTCAGCAAAGCAAGAAACACAAGGAAAATATTCAGAGAATGTGGGTCAGCAGAGACAAAAAAACAAATAGGAAAGCCCAACTATTGTAGCACAGCATGACACTTCACAACACAATGCAACATACATTTAGGACTCAGCAGCCATTCAAACAAAATGCCTGACTCTTACACACATGGCCACACTCTTATTCCTTATTCTGGAAGAGAGAAACTCTGTGTGTGTGTGTAATCACTAAAATTACAGGGGACGTAATGGAGCACGGGGAGCCTCAGCCTCCTTTGGCTTTATTCCTCACAAACCAAGATAGCATTGCTGTGGCTTACCGCTCACATTCATGCCAAAGACTGAAAATACCAGCCAGTGGACCACTTTCATAAGCTTTACTCCATACACATCCGAGACTACGTACAAAGTGGAAATTTATGACCCCCAAATATAGCTTACTCCGACTGCAGCCGTGTCAAGAAAACTGAGACGTATGTTTGAATATTTTGAATGAAGTCGACTTTTTCCAGTTTATCTATAAAACAAAACATTTTCACAAGGTTTAATGTGGATCTACTCAACAATTCACTTTTGAGTTTGTGTAGACTCTTAAAAGCAAACGTGATTCTATCAGTGACTCATTTGTATGATTTATACTTAAAAAAATGTTTTTAAAAAGGACCCTAGGACGGATTTTTTTCCCCCATTCAGAGCTGTAGCCATAACCTGTAATTTAGGATTTATTTCCGGTTAGTTTTCCAAGATACTGCATTCATTCCCACTGAGCTGGTTGTTCTTTTGTTTTTGCTACAACCCAGTAGCACGTCCATCAACTGTGACATGGACATTACTGTCCAAACAGCTTGCACATCATGACCTCTGACTCACACTCTCTCCAGTGGGGATTTCTTCTTGCTGTGACAACTCAGGGGTTTGTTGTCACATGCTAATCTGCTCTTTACTTGCTTTCAAGAGTTACAGCGTTCAAATTAATGTTCAAAACCAAGTTTACATGTTGCATTAGTTTAAAAAAACTCATTCAAAAAAAGCCTGCGGTGGGCTTCAAGTCAAATTAAGGGCCTCATGAAAAGAGGGAATAAAACCATCAAATTGCTTGTTTTGTTTCATCTCCTTCCAGAGTTTTTCCTTTCCTGCTTAAAAGGTGCTCTGATGATTAGCAAGAGGGACAGTCTGAGTGTCCTGTGGTGAAAGTGTGTTGCTTATTAAGAGGCAAAGCACTCAGAGTAACACAGAGTCTGGTGCTTTTTTCAACTTCAGTAAAAACTTACTGGAAACAATTGATGGCTGTTAATGAGACTGTGGGACGACGAGTAATGCTGTTAATGAGTGTGGGGGCATGAATGCGCGATACAGTGCGCTGCAGCTTGTAGAAAGCCAAGCTTCTGCTTGAATCTAGATTTGAATTTGACAATTTTCTTCCACCGCTAGACACCAGAGAACAAAAACTGTAATCTCTGCTCATCACGCTGTCCTGGATTCAATGTATTTTTATAGTTTAATTAAAGCTGCAACAATGACGCGTC